ATACACACACAAAAATTTCCCTTAAATTTTAAGGCAGTAAAACAAACACCTTAAGTTAACATCAACCGAAGCCATATGTTGACAAGTGATGCAAAATCACATTTACACAAAAGAACTGGTCAGATTTTTCAGAAATGCCTTCAATTTTGATGTAAAATATGATGCCAAAAGGCTGCAGATCAGCGTCCGGACTTTACTCCGATCGGAGTAGATTAACACCGATTTCTTTTTTAAATTTGAAATCTACCCCTAGTCCGCTTAGCCTAAAATATGCTCCAATTTTTTAACTTTTTTTTTTTCATTCACCTTAAGTATATATTACAAAATGGTAACTTCTTAATTTTTGCTCAATAACTTCTGTGGCAACCAGCAAGGCTTTGTAAAGCAAGGTGTAACAGAAGTTGTCTATTTTACTCTTTAACATTCCTTGTGGAATCACATTTTTTTTCCTAAAGCAGGGACCAAAAATGGGTTTTGAAAAGTGTATGTTTAGCAATTTGGCAGAGTATATGCTATTTTACCTATTTTACCGAGCAGTAGTGCTGCTGCTAAAAAAAAATGACAGAGGTGAATCTCATTAAAAATAAATACAGGAACAGGCGTAGACAATTTGCGCATGAACTCTTATTAACAAAATGTCAGAAATTGATACGCCGTCTGATAATTTACTTATTTGTTTAAAGCATTGTACATTTGTTTGATGGAAAGTTTGTTTTGAATACTATTTAGAGATGAGGCTGATTTACAAGCACTCCGTGCCAATGCTTTACAATTAAACACAATGGGCCGTATGCATAAAATTTAGGCAAATGCTTTTTCTTAAAATTTCAGACTTTAACTCAATTTGTTCAAATAAATTTAAGTGAAAGGTATGAAACTTTAAGATAAAGCAATTGTTTAGTTTTTATGCATACGGCCCAATGAGTGATGAAATGAAAAACTACCTGGAATATACCTACATATATACTTTTATACATATACATATATGAATGTAAATAATGCGTAAGTATAGAAAAAAAGTTGCATGAACAAAGTTGGAATAATTTTTTTTATACTATTTAATAAAAAAATTTAAATCTGCTCCGAAAATTTCGCTTTTACTCGAATTTTTCGAGTCATTTACTTCCGAATCGAGTTTCAGTAGTCCGAAGGCTCCTGCAGATCTCCCATTCAGATGACCAGTCATATGACCGGCAGATGTCTTGTAAGGTTCCCAGAGAGTTTTGCTTTACATAGAAATTTGTGCTCTTTTATCTTCATTTTGACGCATTTCAGTGTTGGTGCTTTTTTATTTCAAGTTGGTCTTCGGTTTTTGGAACTTAAATAAGTTCTCAGCAAAAAAGTTTGTTTAAAAAATACATATGTGTACATAGTGCTTGAAAATATCAATTTTTCCCTTTCCTTAAACCTTTCGGAGTGGGCAAAAATGATGTTTTGTAATTAAGGCAGAATTGAATATGCGCTATCTGGGAAGACAATATCTACCTGTAATATTTATTCTATAAGTTGGCACTATATCCAAACACAAACGCGTGTTAAGCAAACAGTGAAAAAATTTGTTATTTTCTAAGTTTGCGAATAAAACGTCACATTTTAATTTAAGACATTCATAACAAACTTTTTATGAAGAAAATCCCCGCTGCGGCCTTCTTTAGAAAAAATATATTCAATTAAAAAAATAAGCGAAATCGGAAATAACCCTGCCCGACATTAAAATCTTCTTCGCGATAAGACTAGTAGCCATTTCTAACATATTTTGGGTCGGTTAGTAAATTAACGAAACATATATATCTGAATTTTAAGAAAACAATGCAAATTGCAAAATCGGCTAAAAACGGCTAATTTTTTTTTACAAAACGGCTAACAAGTCGACTGCCGGCTAAACCGAAATTTCTCCCGCTGTTTTCTATTGCAACCGGCTAAATCTAGCCGGAAAACGGCTCAAATGACAACACTGCTTTTTAGCAGTGCTGCCGCTGTCACTTAAATTGAAGTTTTTCACTTCACTTTGGAAGCCTTCACTTCGTCACTTCATTTTACTTCGCTTTACTTCACTTTCCACATATTAGATGTACCTTCAAAATATATAAAAAAAAAGAGTTTAAATAATTGATATATTTAACTAAAATCAAGAAACTTTTGCTAACATCCTTTTTAAGTGATAAGTATGGCAAAGCAACTTTTCGCTACTAAAAAGACGCTTAATAAATTTCCAATCTGGCATCGGTTATTTGGGAGGTCATTTTGATTTTCATTTTCACATGTACAGATGTAAAGCGCACAAAAAGGAATAGGTGGGTAGAGTTTCATAATTATTTAGTAAATATTTGACGAAAACAACAATTTTATTTTAGTTTTCATACATCTCCAATTTTACAGCAAAAAGGAAACATTTAAGTGAATCTGGTGATTCCGTTGTTGCTCAGTGTAGCCGTTTTGATCCAAGTGGATCAAAATGATACGCTTTTAATCGAATTTTTAAAAGATACTTTTTTTTAGCTGAGTATTAATTGTGATACATTTTAATTCACGAATAAGTTTTGGGTAACTTTTTCCATCTTAAGACATTTATGATTTTGTGGCAACGCATTTGTTTTCTTTCACTGAAGATATCAACTTTAATCTGCATATGGCATCACCGTTAGCTACAGACAACTAGTGTGGTCCCGTACTCCAGGATTTAATCCGAAATTGTCCGAAGTCGTTTCCTTTCACACATTTAGCATGTATTTTGCGAACAATTTCTCACTAAATCCTGGAGTGCGGGAGCGGGCTAATATTGTCGTTCCTTTTTCCTTTTTGATTTTGAAGCTGTTGGACGTGGGACTGGGCTAAGAATTTCATCCAAGGTAATCCAGTACAAATTTTGAAATATACTCTTATGTGTTGACAGCGTTAAACACAAATTTGATATGTGATTTTAGTTAAGTATGCAAAAATGAATTCAACTGTCACCGAGGATAAAAGCTTAGTTTTCACTCTATATTTTATATAAAAACCATAAAATAGTAATAAAAACTTTCAACGATCTCAATTAAAAACTCAAACTACCATTTTAATTTAAGAATTAGAAGTTTTTTGACGATTGATACTTTGATACTTAAAATTTTTTTTCATGATACTTTTGATCCATTTCAGGGAATTTGGTGATACATTCTTCTGAACGTCGCAGCAACACTGTTGTTGTTGTGTAGATATCTGGTGAAGACATTGTTGATGTGAACCGATAATCGATTTATTATATTTTAGTGTTAATTTCATCAGCGAACTGTAATTTTAGATTTTCTTTCCTCAGCGTTTGAGACATTGTGATTTTGAAGATATTGCAGCACTAAATTTGCACAGGTACACAATAAATTATAAATTGATAAAGGTTAAAGATTAACTTTATCATGATGAAAGTATTATCGATTAACCAATCAGCTGATAAATAACCTAATCGAAAAACCCCGCACCCCTAACCATGCTTCAAAGTCTTCACTTCGATGATCACTTCACTTTTTCGCCCAAGTCACTTCGAAACTCTTAACTTTTAGTGTGTTTTCACTTCGCAAGAAAATTAGCAAACGGTAGCACTGCTTTTCAGATTTTTGTCCGAAAAGATAAGGAATGGACGTAATAACGATAACATTTATAAACAGGGCACGAAAATAAACTATATAGTACGTTACTATTTCGTTTCCTTTATTACTTCAACAGTTCGGTGCAATACGAAAACAAAACGGCTGAGTTCACTTTGGCGGTAGTACACTACAGTAGTTTAGTAGTTACAGACGAAACAACAAACGAAATGAATCGTGCAGAGAAAAATATATGTATGTATGTACATGTAGTGATACACATTACTTGTTAAACACTTGTTCTTAAAATACTTTGAATTATGAAAATATCTTGTTACATTTATTTATGTACGATCAATTTTGAGTTGAAAATTTTTATATTCATTTATTCAGTTTTCAATATTCAATAAAATAAAACCTGGAAAATTTGTTAAACTTAAAAAAACGAAAATTAAATATTTTTTAATATACCTAAAATTGGCGATCCTGCCAGGAGCAATTTTTAACAAAGATAAAATTTAGAAACGTGAAAATCGCTTTCGAGGACATTTGTCGAAATTGAATTCGACAACGGCTACAATAACAAAAGCAACCACAAATTATTACAACTCTTACGAACGCGATACGGCGCGTCCAACAACATTTTTGAAAACAATAACGACGACGAATAGACGCGGCGATTTTATTGTATTGCATTAAGATTGCAAAGAATTTTTGCATTGCATCTAGTTAGTGAATACATATGAAAACGTCGCTTGTGAACGCGTCCGATTTCGACTACTCCAGTCGCCCCGTGTACGAGGGCGAATAACGTCGCACACTTCAGCAATACGAGCAGTCTCAGCTGCAAAGCAGCATCAGGAGCGATTGCAAGCAGAGCAAGACGACGGGCAACAGCTCCATCAGCAGCAACAGCAACAGCAAGAAGAACAGGAACGAGAACGAGAGCAGCAACCACGCAAACATCAATCGCCATTTGTGCAGCAACATCATTATCAACAACAATATTTGCGTCAGCATCGTTACCACGACGACAATCAGTCACAACAGAGGCAACAAAAGCAACATAAGCAGATATCACGACAACAACGCCAACAGGAAAGTTCTGCCGTTGTCACATCGACAATTGTCTATTATCATCCATCCTCATCGCGTTTAAAGCACTCGCCAAGTAGTTTTGCTGACGCTGAACAACAACAACAAGTACAAAATATCAACAAATGTCACAGAAACAGCAGTCGCAATTATAGTCGGCCGTATAGAAGCAGCAACAGCCACCAACATCTGTAACCTTAACAACAACCACAAAACACCCAGTCTTTAAACCGTCACCAATCAAAACATCTAAATAGATAAGTTTATGTTAGCGTAGTTTAGTTGTGTTAAATTTTACACTTAGACAATTTTATTTTATTTTTTTTTTTAAATACAAAGAACAGTTTATTTTTTTTGTAAACCTTCTTCCAATATGTTGCGTTCTCCTCAAGAAAAAGGTGCTGGGGATAGACTTGGTAGGTCTCTGATTGATATTGAAGATCCCTGTGAGGTGTCACAAGATAATATACGTAATCCGTATGACAGGTCTGAAATTTGTGCTATTTCGGTAAAATTACCACAATTTTGGTCTAACTGTCCTGAAGCATGGTTCGTACATGCCGAGATGCAATTTGCTACAAAGGGAATTAGTAGGGATTCGACCAAGTACGAGTTCGTTATAACTGCCTTGCCTCAAGAAGTTATTGCGAATGTACTTGATGTTATACAAAATCCACCTCAGACTGAGACTTATGAAAATTTAAAAAAAGTTCTCATTGACCGACATTCTTTAAGCGAGCAGAGAAGACTTGATAAAATTTTGTCAGATACTGAGATAGGGGATCGCAGACCTTCCGAGTATTATAGGACCCTTGGTCAGTTAGCGGGTAGCACTATAGACCCGATTTTCTTAAAAAATATTTGGTTGAGGAAACTACCTAAAAGTTTGTATGTTGCATTAACCAGCGCTAATTTAAATAATATTAATGATCTCTTGCAACTCGCAGATAAAATTTGGGAAATTACCAGTGGTAGTGAAATTTGTGCTGTTAAAAGTAAAGTACTTACTTCTTCAAACAATTTTGATGACTTAGGGAAAATTGTGGAAGATTTAGCGAAGGTTACGACGAAAATGTGTGAAAGTTTTAATCGTTTGCAGTTGGACATTAATGAGATTAAAACGCAAATATATGATAGACCATCACGATCAAGAAGGAGGTATTTTAGTAATAATAAAAATTCCCAGTCACGTAGTAAGTCTCAATCTAAAAATTGGGTCTGTCGGTACCATTTCCGTTTTGGTAGTAAAGCACGTAAGTGTGAAGAACCGTGTGCCTTTAAAAGAAATAATTCTGACTCGACAAACTAGGACATGCTGTTGTTGCAGCGACTAACAATGGCAATTTGAAATTTTCAACACGTCGCTTATTTGTATTAGACAAAGAAAGTAAGCTTAAATTTTTAATAGACAGTGGTGCCGAAATTTCAGTTCTTCCTTCCTCCAAATTCAAAATACACAAACGATCTTCCGACATTATTTTAACTGCTGCAAATGGTAGTATGATTTCGACCTATGGAAAGAAATTATTAAATGTTAATTTGGGACTTCGTCGGGAATTTCCGTTTGTATTTCTTATTGCTGACATTTCTAAACCCATCATAGGGGCAGATTTTTTAGGGAAGTATGGACTCTTAATAGATATACAAAATAAGAGGTTAATAGATCCCTTAACTAACTTGTCTGTCGACGCAATATCTGCGTTTTGTAATATCTCTTTGCCAAAAATATTTCCGGTTGAAAACCAATATACAAAGCTTATAAAGAATTTTCCTTCATTAATTTCTGAACCTGATTATAACAAAAAAGTTGAGCATTCGACAGTTCATCATATCATAACAAATGGAGTTTTACCATTCTGTAGCCCGAGACGCTTAGATCCAATCAAATACAAAATAGCAAAGGCTGAATTCGATTTTTTACTGAAATCCGGGATATGTCGTCCATCTAAATCCCACAGAGCATCGCCACTGCACCTGGTACCTAAAACAGACGCAACTGACTGGCGTCCTTGTGGCGACTACCGAAGAGTTAACTTGATCACGATACCCGACCGATATCCGTTACCACACATTCACGATTTACATATTGAATTTCAAAATAAGAAAATATTTTCAAAAATAGATTTAGTTAGGGCGTACCACCAGATACCAGTTGCAGAGGAAGATATCCATAAGACCGCTATAACCACACCATTTGGAATGTTCGAATTCGTCAGGATGCCTTTTGGCTTACGAAATTCAGCACAAACATTTCAAAGATTCATAAATGAGGTGTTACACGATTTAGATTTTACTTTTGTTTATCTGGACGATATATTGATAGCTAGCAAAGACGAAGTAGAACATTTAAAGCATTTAAATATGCTATTCCAGCGTTTAGATAAGTACGGAATATTAAGCCATCTAAATGCATTTTCGGAGCAGAAAAGATCAGTTTCCTAGGGTATAACATATCATCCGAGGGTATACAACCATCAGAGGAAAAAGTCCGATCTATTCTTGATTTCGGTCAACCAATAACTATCAAACAAATGCAGAAGTTTGTAGGAATGGTGAACTTCTATCATAGGTATATACCAAAACTTGCCGCAATGCTTGACCCAATATATAGTATGATAACAAAAGCATCGAAGAGCAAAGATAAAGTGGACTGATGAATCAGTATATGCATTTAAGCAAGTTAAAGAGAGTTTTGCTAGGAAAACACTGTTAACGCATTTCAACAGTAATGCAATTCTGTCTATTGCTGTAGATGCATCGAGTAGAGCTATTGGGGGTGTTCTACAACAGGAAGTTAAACATTCTAAGGAACCGCTTGCATTCTTTTCAAAGAAACTAAGCCCGTCTGAATGTAAATATAGTACTTTTGATAGAGAATTACGTGCTGTTTATTTAACTATTAAGCATTTCAGGCATTGGTTAGAAGGTAGATCTTTTGCAGTATATACAGATCACAAGCCGCTTACATTTGCTATGAACTCAAAAGCTGAGAGAAGCCCAAGGCAAACCAGACAGTTAGAATTCATATCTCAATTTACTAGTGATATTAAATACATAAAAGGAGATTTAAATTGTGTTGCAGACGCATTATCGAGGATTCCTGAAGTTACAGCATTAGAAGCTACTTACCTGAACTTACGAAGATTATTTGATGAACAAAACAAAGATGAAGAAATTAAATTATTAGTATATGATCAAAATTGTAGACATAGACTAGAGTTAATAGCAATACCCTCTTTAAATATTCAAATTTGGTGTGAAACGTCACTTAGTTCAACAAGGCCATATGTCCCGCAAATGTTACGAAAATTAGTTTTTGAGAAATTACATAATATAGCTCATGTAGGTGTTAAAGCAACACGTCGGTTGATCACAAGTAGATATTTTTGGCCAGGGATGAACAAAACTATAAATCAGTGGACAAAAGAATGTGTTAACTGTCAAAAATGTAAAACTTATAGACATACAAAATCTCAAGTTTCGAAAATACCAATTCCAAAAGGACGTTTTGAGCACATACATTTGGATATCGTTGGACCTCTTCCCTTATCACACGATTTTAAATTTATTTTAACTATTATCGATAGAACTTCCCGTTGGCCAGAAGCATATCCACTTCGAAATATTTCGGCGGAAAATGTTGCAGAAACTTTCTTCCGCGAATTTGTTTCACGTTTTGGAGTTCCACTGACAATTACAACAGATCAGGGCACACAGTTTACTTCTCAGATTTTTACTGAACTAACAAAGCTTTTAGGAAGTCATAAGATTACAACCACTGCCTACCATCCGCAAGCTAACGGAATGGTCGAACGTTTTCACAGGCAACTAAAGGCATCAATTATGGCTAGTGGAAACGCAAGCAGATGGTATGAGGAGTTACCTATAGTATTGTTGGGTTTGCGATCATCCTACAAAGAAGACATTCACGCTACAGCAGCGGAGATGTTATACGGCGAAAATTTAAGGCTTCCTTCGCAAATGGTAGTTCGGTCTGAAACAAAATTTGATTCATCTGATGTACTGAATAAATTAAAGCAAAATCTCAAAAATTATGAATCGAAAGTATGTCATCATAAAGATTCACTTGTTTATATTCCAAAAGATTTATATAATTGCAAATTTGTTTTAGTAAGAATTGATAGGAAAAGAACTGGTTTACAGGAACCATATGAAGGACCGTTCGAGGTTATAGAAAAGACACCGAAGTGGTTCAAAATTAATTATCACAACAAATTAGTAAATATTTCTATAGACAGAGTTAAGCCTGCATTTCTAGATGGAAGTAAACTTAGTTCATCCAGCAAGACGAAGCGAGTTACTTTTAATTTGTTAGATATGAAAGTTTTTGGAAGAGGGGAGTAGTGTAGTGATACACATTACTTGTTAAACACTTGTTCTTAAAATACTTTGAATTATGAAAATATCTTGTTACATTTATTTATGTACGATCAATTTTGAGTTGAAAATTTTTATATTCATTTATTCAGTTTTCAATATTCAATAAAATAAAACCTGGAAAATTTGTTAAACTTAAAAAAACGAAAATTAAATATTTTTTAATATACCTAAATACACATATGCAATAACTAAACACAAAACGAATGGCAGCAATGAATAAAAAAAAATAAAAATGTTTTTTAATTGAATTGGATATGAAAATTTATAGAAAAAAATATTTTTCACGTAATTGCATACATATAAAACGTACCCTATGGTACAACTGTCAAACGAAAAGCAAACGTTTCTCGTTGGGGAAAATGACAGTGAATCTTACAATTTGTTTCTGACTATGTACAAAACTGTACAAAACCACAAATGATATGGTGATCGATGAGCAAATGGGAATTGTTTTGTACAGTTTATTTTCGTACTCTGTTTATAAATCGATTAAACTTCAATTGCATTTATATATGCATACGTACAAAGCATAATGTTCCATGACGCAAAACTACAAAATATACAAATACAAAAATATCTCCATGCCCATACAGTTTGTATGGATCGTCCATACGAAAAGTTATCGAAACGCATCGCTAGAGCAATCAGCGCATCAGAAACAAAGTTGATGCTTCGTGTGTTATTGGTTAACATTGGTGTTTTAAAAATGGAAAATTCAGAAAAATTGTTCATTGCTATATTGAATATTTAAAATATGCAATGTATATAGTTGCAATATGTCGCAACTCTGCATATACAAACAGTTTGAATACCGCAGTATCATGATTCAATAATACAAGGTTCGATAAACTGACAGTTGTCTCTCTCGCACCGCTCCCTTGGCAGTGGCAGAGTGTTGCTTCTTTGCAAATTTCCTTGGAAAAAGTGTAGCTTTTCTGTGAAATAGAAGTATAAGCTTTTGTGCAATATGTTTATTTGTATATGCATATGAAGCACATTTAACTGATGAAAACATAAATTGTTTTTAAATTGGATGTTTACATAAATCCAATAGTAGTTTTATTTTATTTTTGAGTCCTTTTGCATTTTTTATACAGCTAAATAGCACATAAATTACGTAATTCACGTAGATGTTTAATATTTCGTTCCATATTTCGTTTAAACTGCCAGATTTCCTGCAAATACATTAGAATTTACAAAAGGAATTTCACTACTAATTGCCTACTTTGCGTACTTTTCTACTACCATTTTCTCAACAAGGGATTGCATTCTCCCCTTTTCTCTGCCCTTCGTAAATGCAACCTTTTGCAAGGGAGTGTCAAACCGTGGCTGTCAATAATTATCTAACCTTGTGTTATTGAATCATGCCGCAGTATAACAATATTCAAACATTGTATTAATACGTTTTCAAGAATGATAGAATACAAGATTGCGCCGCCCTGTGCGTTGACATTTGAGTACCACAAGTAAACAAAGAATAGAGCGAAAAGAAGAACGAGTTGAAACTGCCAAAACATTTCATCTTACAGCGAAAAACGTGTTTTAATTTTGCTAAATGCGAAAATATTGCATATTTACCTAATCTATTAGAGAATAGGTAACATTTTAGTGCACTCCATTGCCTTGCAATTGAGGCTGCTTCAGCAAACGTTTTGGTGCAGAAAACTTCGGCAGCATCTCAGCGGGATTGATTAGCTAACTTGCTAATGGATTCTGCTGGGAGCAGAAGCAAAATCATTGTGAGGAAATGCTGTTAATGGCATAATAAAGAAACATTTCGAGAACGGTTTTGCTGTGTCCTATGTACACAAAATGCAGCGATTCGTCCCAGCGCTACACTTGCACCTACGCATCTGGCATCTTGATGGCTGTCGCAATTTAACACACAGCTCTTCATTTTATTAGTTTTTACGCAGTCTTCAACTCAAAAATCACTCACAAATTGCAAATTAACACAATTTAAACTGATTTTTCACTTATAATTCAAATTTATCTTTCGCTGTTTTGTAAACAAAGGTTTATTTACAAATTACCACAACTGTCAAAATCGGCAAAACCAAAGTAGCGGTACCACTGACGGCGCCACCTTTGTTCGCTGCACCGTGATACGTTTTGGAAGTCAGCCTAACTTAGATATTGAATTTGAACAGTGACAGTGATTTGACGTATGCAGTGATTTTGACGTCTTGTGGAAGAAATGAGAGAATACCGTAACAAAAGAACTATAATAACTGAAAAAACGCTGATGTGTATGTCTCTCTTTATTTTTAGTTTTAAGCGCGAAATGCATATTATAATACAACGTTCACATCTGACATTTTGTTCAAAATTAATTGTCATAACTATTGTCAGGACGCCTACGCCACGGAGACAATTATCAGCGTTTTTGACAACTAATACGTATGTCTTTATTGTCTTAACAGCATTGTCTAATGTAATCGCGCCGTAATTGCCGTCCCTAAATTGGCGCATTAAGCGCCAAACAACTGTCAAAAATCCTCATGAACGTACAATTTCTATGGAGCATATAACGCGGCGCTAGCGTCGAGCAAATGAAATTTTAATTTTGGACAGGGCATTACGTGTTGAAGTTGGATGCAGAAGACGGAAAGAAAGAGAAAGAACAAAAAGTGAAAAACGTCAAAAATTACATAGCGTTGATTTGGGGATAGCGCGCGCTGACACTCGTTGACAATGGAAAACGCAACGCTTAGCGCTCCAATTTAGCGATGCCAGTAATGCCCGTATGATACTACGTTTTTTCTTGTATTTCGAGTGTATTTTACACTGTATGTTGAAAGAGAGAGAAAGTTATATACGATTTCAGTACTTGTGTAAGGGAGTAAGCTATATACCAAAAAATAAACGAAAAACTGACGAAAAACAAACTAGATTGTTAAAAACAGTCCGGCCAACTTGTATTTCGTTAGGTTTTTTGACAGATGGCTGTATTTCGTTCGTTTTTCTCACACAGCTGTTTGCATTTTGCCAGACGAGTTATTTTCTTAGCATAAACAATATGGAAATACAATTAAATTAAATACGTTATTGTCTTGCCACTTTAGTTTAATTTTTTAATGTTACAAAACCGTTTTACGCAAATTTTAATTTCGTTTATTTGAATCTCGGTAAGGATATGTAGAAACTCAGCTGTTTTCACACAAAATTTGTTTCTCTCTAACACATTGCCGAATTGTTTTTGTACTATGACTTTCGTTAGTTTTTTGGTTTGTATTTCAAATGAAAAATACAAGGAAAAAAACGTAATAGGAGCGTTCGTTATCTCCCGGAAATAGTCAGAAAAAGTCCGAAGTAGTCAGATTTAGTCCAAAAAGCGTTCCTTAACTCGGAAATGACAGCTAAAATGAGAGAGCAACACCCAGTGAGAGTGACTCTCATCAGTCCGAAGTAGCCAGATTTAGTCAGAAGAATTTTTTCTGGCAAAATCCTGAAAAGTGTCAAACTCAACTAAATTTAAATTAACGGAAATTAAATATGCAAAAAGTAAGAACAATCTAAAAAGTAAAAACAGTGAATTGAAATTGGAAGGAGGCAAAAAATAATTGATATAGTAAGTGTTTATTGTGCTTGTGCTTGTGTGAATGTGTTTTGTACATACATTTAAATTCTTATTTGACGTTAGCTTTGTTGTTGCCATTGTTTGGACTAAAAATTTGGTTTTTTGCGTTCCTTTACTTTTCCTGTTATTCTCTTTTAGTGAGCGCATTTTGCTTACGCTCTGGCATTTTGACACTTTTCAGATTTTAGTCCAAAAAGATAAGGAATGAACCCAAGAATGATAGAATACAAGATTGCGCCAATCGAGCTGAGAGCAACTGGCCGTGACGTCAAAAAATACCAGAATGAGAGAGCAAAGACGAATTCAATAAGAAAAAGAAGAAAAATCGAACAGCTGGGGCGAAATTGAAAGGTTTGTTTACAAAGTGCATAATAAATCGCGGATTTACGGAATTATTTAATTTTAAATGGTAAATTGGTTGTTTAAAAGTAGAGAATGTGTACTTCTTAAATGCAATGCAAATCGCTGAAAGTGTTAAAACACTGCAATCATTATAATGATTTGCATTTTTTCAGTAATTGAACAAATACCAGCGGGCCGCCAGTGGGTCAGTTGCTGGTAACAATTTGCAGAACGATTCCGCGGTGATCGTTGCATCGTCGTCAATTAGTGAAATCAGTAAGCAAGCTTTTAAAATAAAGGAAAACCTCCTACTCCGCTATACATATAATTACTTTCATTATTTAGCTACTTTTCCGGCAGCCGCAACAAACGGTGGCCCAAGCCTGCAAATTGTTGCCAGCAACTGACCCGCTAGCTGCCCAGTGGCATTTGTTCAACTACTCAAAAATGCACTTTGTAAACAAACCTTTTGGGTGTTGGCCACATCAAGCGGCCGATGTTGAACATCAGGTCAAAGAAAAGTCAAATGAGTTGGAAATGGCGCAGCTTATCATACGCCAGCTGTCGGATAAGGCCAATGTAAACCAAGGCCGCAATCGGATAGAGACCTCGATGCAGACGCAATTTATGTACGAGCAACAGATTAGAGACTTACAAGTAAGTTAGAAGTAGAAGTGCATTTGAAGACGCTTACATTATTATGTTTACGCATTTCTTACAGGCTATGGTGAAACAATTGACGTATGAAAGGAATTTATGATGGTAACAAATATATTGGCAAAAACATAGCAAGTGCATATGCCAAGTTGGAAAAATTGACAATGCGTGAGTATAAAATGAATAGGTGTTCTTAATTATAAATATTACTTTACCTCTTCTTTTGCAGTGGCTAAAAAGAAGAGTCTTTTTGATGATCGACCGCAATAGATTCAAGAATTGACTTACATCATGGTGTATGCGTTACAATCTAAATTAGCCAGCATGGGCACCGACTTCAAACAGATACTAGAAGTGCGTATAAAAAATCTCAAACAACAAAAAGCGCGTCGGGATCAATTCGGGCAGTCACCAATTGCTGCTAGCACTGTTCGCTCGAGTACAGTGAAACAGGGCTCCTTGCTGTTAAGCGAAGAGAATACGGCCGTAAGCATTGACATGGCCGCAAGTGATACAACACCATTGCTGGGTGCAGTCGGAGGTAGTGGAATACAGACGCAGCAGCAGATTGCATTATATGATGACTCCGATAGTTACGTGCAACAGCGGGCTGAGACTATGCAGAACATTGAATCGACTATTGTCGAGCTAGGCGGTATATTTCAACAATCAGCAGATATGGTTAAGGAGCAAGAGGAGACTGTGGAGCGTATCGATACAAACATACAAGATGCCGAATTGAACATAGAAGCGGCGCATGGTGAAATATTGATGTACTTCCAAACTGATGATAAAAATCTTCGCAGTACTGATATTCTTTTTCATATTCTTCGTAGTAGTCCTTATATAATAACGAATATGTTTGTGACACGGCAAGATTTTAAAAAGTTCAGATGCGCGGTCTTAAAGTTGTGGGTTTTTAAATACATAAATATATAATATCCTATTCATATACATACATATAAAAACACTAATGTAATAATGAAATTAAGTCTTATATGCCACGTGAAACACGATAGCTTTTAGAAGCAGTCACGTAGGGTTAGACAATAATAAAATTACTTCACTTAGTTTCACTTTTTTTTCAAAATATTCTATAAAAAGTAGAGATGATCCTGTGTAATAAAACGAGAACCGATTTATGTAATCATAAATATATAAAGAAAAGTTTAAGACTAAATAAAATAGAAATTGTTATTGGCAATAAGTACATGTGCTTGTTTATTAATAATTCAAATATTATGTTCAAACAAATTTAAGTGAAAGGTATGCAATTTCAAGAAAAAAGCAATTGCTTAGTTTTTATGCATACGGCTTAACATTTCCGGTAGGAAGCAGAAGGTCAGTATGTATAAATAAAAAGCTTTATCAGGGGAACGTGTTATATTTTCAAATAACAAATAAATAAAAAATACATCGTAATGAAATGTTGCCGTTTATTGCATGTGATCTGATGCCGGATTCAATTTATAGGTTCTCGTAGGTAGCTCGTTCTCGAAGTCATCAGTGGTCAAGTGTTTTACACAGATGACGCTGGTTCGGGCGTTGAAATCCGTTGGTCTCCGGCAGAACTGGATCCACTTTTCCACCAACTCAATGTCGGCCGGAAAAGTAAAAAAAACTGCACCCAGATCCTTTGGCACTAACACTAGCACAATTAATCACTGCACACCTCATTTTTTTCTTTAATTTATAACTTTTTTATAAGTTTTCACAAAAAACAAAACAACGCTGAAAATCTTTCCAATTTGTAAATTTGTAAAGTTGAAATAACCTAAAGTGTCACGAACCAGAAAATGTAAACAAAAGTATTGTGTGACGTTAGCGAATGGGTGGATGCTGTCAAATCGACGAAGAGAGGGTTAGCGGTCCACGAATGGCGCGACCTTTATTTTCTGGATCGCGAACCTAATATCATACGGGCATAAGGTCGGTGTTATAGCTAATACCGTGTTCGCATGAGGCAATTCTCCCGGCAATTTTAGAGGCGATTAGTTGAATCAAAAGTTGGCTGCAGCCAAACTTTATTGGAAGCGATTAGTTGAAAGCACAGTATATACATTAATAAACCTTTTCGCAGTTTTTCACAAATCGGCCCCCGAGGAATACTTTTGGGTTGTGTGCAGCGTTCCCGGTTTGCGCGCACGCCAACACTTACTGTGGGGAATTTCGACTCATTATTAGAAAAACTTCTTTTCAAGGATAAAATGTATATAATTATGTGTTATTTATGAACAAAATGTATGTTAAATATAATATCAATGCTTAATGAAGAGTAATCCATTGTACAATTATATTTTTATGAAAAACGTGAATTTTGTGTTATTTTGTGAATTCATCAAGTAAAATTCTAAAATTTCCGAATATATTTAAGTCTTTATTCCACACACAAACAAGGTATGTATAGTCATAGAGACTCCAATGCCTGCCAGCGCATCCGCCCAGACAGTTCGTTGATCACACCTAAATTTGAACGACCATTGCCCGGAGCTCCTTAAAAATACTTTAAATCAAAGTACAATATGTCACAAATATGAATCATACACACATAAAATAGTTATCGCTTTGAATTGCTACCGTATAAATTCAGGACATGCACTTTCTTGGGGACTTCGTTGGTTATGGTGGCCATAAGTTCGGCCAGCACAGTAAATGGTCCATTACCCGGAGCTGCTCCAACATGACGAGTAGATTTTAGTGACCCTCACATGCCACTGCCCGTGGTTACAAGCTGGATATCTGAATATTGGAAAATAAATAGCATTTATTATTATTAGGAAAGTGTTTGTTTACAAAATTACCTGTGTCATTCTGCCATAGTACGGTTGTTGCTGCCTTTCATGCCATAGCAATTTTGTATACAACTCTGAATCAGCAAAATTCATGCTCCTTCTCATAATCAACCCTGATCAGATTTTACCCCCGGGGAGTACTGAAAAAGGTTTATTACTGTATATACTAGGAGCGTTCCTTATCTCCCAGAAATAGTCAGAAAAAGTCCGAAGTAGTCAGATTTAGTCCAAAAAGCGTTCCTTAACTCGGAAATGACGGAAAAAGTGAGAGAGCAACAGTCAGTGAGAGTGACTCACATCAGTCCGAAGTAGTCAGATTTAGTCAGAAGAATTTTTTCTGGCAAAATCCTGAAAAGTGTCACACTCAACTGAATTTAAATTAACGGAAATTAAAGAATACGCTAAAATTTCTGTTCTTATTTGACGTTAATTTTGTTGTTGGCATTCTTCGGACTAAAAATTTGGTTTTTTGCGTTCCTTTACTTTTCCTGTTATTCTCTTTTAGTGAGCGCATTTTGCTTATGCTCTGGCATTTTGACACTTTTCAGATTTTAGTCCAAAAAGATAAGGAATGAACCTACTGTGGTTGAAAGGCCGTTCAAACCAGACGATTGTTGCTTTCAACTAAAAGTTGCCTGTAAAATCGCCTCATGCGAACTTCGTATGAAGCACAACACCGACCACAGTATATACAGTAATAAACCTTTTCGCAGTTTTTCACCAATTGGTCACCAATGAGTACTTTTGGGTTGTGTGCAGCGTTTTCGTTTTGCGCGCACGGCAGCACTTACTGTGGGGAATTTCGCCTCATGGTTAGTTCTTTTCGATAGGTGTCTTCCCTTAAACTCGTAAACGCCTCGTAAACCTCGTAAAAGAACTTTTAAAATTTGTATGAAGCTCAATTTACGAACCCCTAGTAAAATTAAGAAACGAATTTGAAGCGCAAACGGCCTCGTAAACTTCAATGTTGCCGAAGGGCCGAAATTTTTACACTAAAATGTATGTTAAAATAATGAAAATAAAAGAAAAAAAATAATAAGCGAATGAAATGAACGAAGTTCATCCACCAACTGTATTGCCTTATTGCCTATTTTCTGCTCATTTTCGGTAATTTTAATTGTATTTTAGCAAAAAGTGATAGAGACAAAATGGCGGAATGTTATGAACAACATTACGAAACAAAAATTGCTTTACAAAATCCTGGTTGATCTGTCAAACAGTCACTTTACGCACCTATTTACACCTTTTCACAAAGGGGGTTCCCATAAAAGCCTCGTAAACTAACGAGTTTTACACAGTTTAAGACTTTACGAGTTTAAGGTAACCCCTAGATGATAAAATATACATAATCAAGGCGAATTTATACAAGCTGGTGTCGACAGAACAAAAATAAAAATTACAACAACAAATTATACGCACAATGACAATCAGTACAAAGCAGAATTACAAGAAACACATCATTTTGACAAAAGGTACAAATTCGCCGTGAAATCAATGGATCCGATAACACCACCTTGTATAGATTCGCCTTGTACATAATTATTTGTTTTTTATGAGCAAAATGTAGGTTAAGTATAATATCAATGCTTAATGAAGAATAATATCAATAACTAAGTACGTAATTAACGCTTGTGTTTTATAAAGCCCTGTATGCAGCTCTCAAGAAAACGGTCAAGAAAAAAGGCCTTTATTTCGCGTGTGTCCAAGGAATTTTGACATTTTTGATACTTCACAGCCTGTTGCCTCACTC